AATTAATTAAAATTAATTGACATAAAATGGTTAAATTCTTAATTAATTTATAAATATAAAAGGTAATGTGGGAATGTGGGACCTATTTGAAGGGGTTTTAATGTATTTGATTTGTTGGAACGTGACGTGATATGATGTTTTATTTATATCAATATTTTTATGTTGTTTTTTTATGTGATCAAAAAAAATATAAAAAATATTACATACATAAAATTAATGGTTTAAATTAACAAAAAAATAAAAATTATGTAACTTTTAAAGTTGAATGACTAAAAATAATATAAAAAATAATTGAAGAATAAAAAAAGTATAATTTTTTTTTTGAACACGGAGAAAGCATTGCATTACAGCACCACCTCCAAGAAGGCATGCTCAAATCAATAAAAGAATAATAATTTCATTTCAAATCGATCATATTTATATAAAATGAGTATAGTCTTGCCACCACTTCAAAAACAAGCTAAAATGTGCTTTAAAATTGAAGGACGTTATCATAATTTACTTACCTCACTAGCATAAAACCAAAAACTCAATCCATGTACTAAAGTGCCCCAAAGATCAAGAACCTAACCAAAACATCCAAGAATTAATTCTATAAGCAATTTCATTTATTTATTTATTTTATCTTATTTTTCTTCTTTCTGAATTTGAGCATTAACCCGAAATGGGTATATATATATACACAAATAAATACATATATATATAGCTTCCCCAAACTCACGGACAATAATGGGGAACAAGGCTTTTATTCCAATTATTGATTTAATTATACACAACACATATATACCAAAATTTCCAAATTCATGGACAAAAAAGGGAGAACCTGAACTTTGGCAAAACAATAGCAAATCACGGGGTTTTCTCCAAAAATCATCGTAGCCAAAATAAGCTAATTTTCTACATGAATTAAACTTAAAATATGTTCAAATGCTGCCGGAATTTATCCCTTTTTTTCTACAGAATTTCGAACATCACAGGGGCAGCAAATTAATGGACAAAATTCAGCAACTAACGGTAATTTGGACTTAGATTAAGTTGTCACTTACCAGAATTCAGCAAACAAAATCGAAATTCAGTTTCTACCATTAACAGTTAATCTTTACCAATGAATACAATATTGAACGCTGGAAGAATAAGAGACAGATAGCTGTGCACTCAAAAATCAGATGTCTCAACAATTTCATCAAGTGAAGGTCCCAATCCAGGTTACTTCATTTGCATTTCTCTAACTAATTACAATCTCCATGTGGTTTCTTTACTTTTTAAGATAAGAACAATGATATGACAAAAGTTATATTTTCCTGCATTGTAGATCTATTATGTTCGTGATGCTGTGGGGAGACTAAATGATCAGTGATGCCAATATAAAATTTGCAGAGGTATATTTCAAACGTCTGTTTTAAAGCGTTATTTTTATTTGTTTATCTTTCTATTTGATAAGATGGCTTCCCTTTAATTATTTTGTTTAGACTCTAATACAAAATGGTCTGTTTTAGCCATTATACTGATTTAACCTATAAAAGCTGCACAGTGATTAATAGCACAATTTATTGAAGTACAATCAATTTTTTCTTCTTCCATATATTGTTTTAGAAACTAAGGTTATGTTCAATTGGATGGAATGATTATTCCTTGTTCAATATGTAAAAATAAGGCAAAATAAAGAAGGGTATTTCAAAGTCTAGAAGATAAGAATAAGGTTGGATATTTTCTTTTAAATTAGTGAATGAGATAGGAATTATTAAAACCTGTGAAGAATATAGTAATGGCTATTCCTATCACATTCCAAAATCTAAAAAGGATAATAAGCAACATTCCCCACCTTATTCCTAAAGTGTCAAGCACTTCGTTTTATCTTGTTTTCATTCATTGACCAACAAATAGAAATTCCATTGAATCAAACATAGCCTAAAGTTCCTTTGGCACCCATTGATTGAAATTGTACCATGTTTTAATGTAGACAACATTGATAGTTACCTCAAGACTTTAATGGGGGGTTAGGATTGATCTATGCTGAACTGTAGGTAGGTAGATACCTTAATGCTTTCAATTAATGCAGTTAGGATTTGTCTACGCTAAAGTGTTGTTCAAGGAAAGATGGTGCGTCAAATCCTCATTTCGTTTTTTGGCATAGAGAACTGCATGTGTTAAGCAATACAAAGTTGCCCAGATGACAAAGTGAATCTAATTACCAAAGTAATCATATCTAACATAGAATTCGTTAAATGATTATTTTAGTGATGTGAAAAGTGATTCAAGTAGTTGAATATGATTCGGATTTGATTTGTTGTTATGTCACACCCTACTTTAGCAGTGCATCATGCAAAAAATTTACTAGATGCTAATTTCTACTTCTATCCAGGTATTTTCTTTCACTGACATTACTTTCCTATGGTTGCTGTCATGTAGGCGAGAGGATTGAAATTTTACTTCCCTGAAGGATATTTTAGTGCATAAAGTTGTTACAAGTATGTTCATCACTTACCTTTTGTTGCTACATGTGGGTTCTGCATGGTGGTTGAAAAAGCATGCAAATTTCAGCTTTTAAAATTTCGTTGCATAAGAAATCTTGTGGCAGTCAAAAAGGTGTTAAAATGCATGCAAAGTGCAGAGTTGAAAGTGTGGTTATTTGGCAAGATGGTGCAGCCGAAAATCTTGACATAAATGGATTTTGCTTCTGCGTGTATCCATGAAATTAAAGGTTAAGACTTTGAAGGCCATTGCATTTATTGTGCATCGTTGAATTTTGATCTTGCAGCCCATTTCATTAATTTTGGGCGGTGGATTTTTGGCTATAAAAGCCATTTGGCCATTCGGCAAAGCAACCAAGAGAGCAATCCAAAGCAAAGTGAGCTCTAGAAAATACAAGAGTTTTGTGAGTGCTTTAAGTGAGGGTGAGTAAGAGCAAAGTGGTTAAAATTACTTTGCTAAGTGTGTTTTTTGAGTGTCTCTTATTTTTTAAGTGTGTTTCGCATTCAAAAATACTGTGAGTAAGATTTGGGTGTACTTGAGGCTTGTATATTTTTTTGAGAGTATCACAAATTGTATCTCCCTATTTTAATAGTGAATTTTTTTTTGTGAGTGCCCGTGAATGTAGACTTAATTAAATTGGAGCTGAACCATGTAAATTCTATCTTTCTTGTGGTGGTGCATTTTTTTTACTCCATTAATTTCTTAATCTTGTATTGGGTAAACCAAAATCTCAAACAATTTGTTCCAACAAACTGGTATCAGAGCTATGGCGGTGGTTAGTTCTTGAGAAATTCGTTTAATCATGATGGCATCTTGAGCCAAGTACGAGATTGAGAAATTTAATGGTGGCAAAAATTTCAGCTTATGGGGGTTCAAGATGCGGGCCATGCTAATACAGCAGGGCCTGTGGAAAGCACTAGAAAAGGAAGGCAGGCTACCAAAAACTCTACCAGAGGAAGAGAAGATAGGAGCGGGCACTGAGTACAATTCAGCTCTCACTTTCTAACAAAGTCTTGGGGGAGGTTGCAGAAGAAAATTCAGCTTCTACATTATGGTCAAAGCTGGAAGCCCTTTACTTAACCAAATAAGTCACTAACTGATTGTATCTAAAGAAACGGTTGTTCACCCTCAGTATGAATGAAGGTGGTTCCATCAAAGACCATCTTGATGAGTTCAACAAGCTCATTTTAGACTTGAAGAATAAAGATAGAAGATGAAGACCAGGCAATTATTGTTTTGTGCTCGTTGCCTGACTCTTATGACAACTTTGTTGAAACTCATCTTCATAGTAGAGATCAACTCTCTATGGAAGATGTCAAGGCGGCTCTGAATTCAAGAGAATTGAAGAAGAAGGTGTCCGAAGACAAGAGTGGTGATCAAGCAGCAGGATTGGTCATAAGAGGTAGACAAAGTAATAGAACTTTCAACAAGCGAGGAAAGTCTCAATCCAAATCGAGAGCCAAGCATGGTCGATGTTACGGGTGCAATGAGATGGGACATTTCAAGAAAAATTGTCACAAGCTCAAGGAGAAAAAAGCTGAAAAATTCGATGATGCTAACATTGCCAGTTGTAGTGATAATTTAGATGATGAAGATTGTGTTTTACCTATCTCTACAAACTCCTCCAGTCAGGAATGGATTTTAGATTCGGGTTGCTCATTCCATGTATGCCTATAACGTGACTGGTTTGAAACATATAAACCAGCCACTAGCACGGTGGTTCTTGGTGATGATACAACATTGTCTATTGTTAGAATTGGCAACATCTGGATCAAGATGTATGATGGGACAGTCAAAACATTCAAGGTTCGTCATGTGTCAGGTTTGAAGAAAAATCTCATTTCCATGAGTGAGCTTGACTCCAAATGCTATCGATACTCCTGGGAAGGTGGAGCTCTCAAAGTCTCTAAAAGAGCTCTTGCAATATTGAAGGGGAAGAAAGTTGGTGGTCTTTATCACTCACAAGGAAGCATAGCCAATGGCACATGTGTTGTGTCAACTTCAAGTAGTCAAGATAAAGATGTGACTTGGTTATGGCATATGCGACTTCGGCAAAGGAGTCCATCGAACTCAAGGCACAGTTGATTACATTCACTCAGACTTGTGGGGTCCCTTGCTTGTTACATCAAAAGGTGGAGCTGTGTATATGTTGACCTTCATCGATGATTATTCAAGAAAGGTGTGGGTATACAAATTAAAGAGTAAGAGTGATGTGTTCCTCACCTTTAAGCAATGGAAGACGCTGATTGAGAAGCAGAGTGGAAAACAAATCAAACGCCTAAGAACAGGCAATGGTCTTGAGTATTGCAGTGGTGAGTTTGATACTTTTTGCAAGAATAATGGAATTGTGAGACATCGCACTGTCAGGATGACACCACAGCAAAATGATGTTGCAGAAAGGATGAATCATACACTCTTGAAGAGGGCATGGTGTATGCTCTCAAATGCTAGATTATCAAAGGAATTTTGGGCAAAAGTTGTCAATCATGCTAACTATCTTGTAAATCGGTCTCCATCCACAACAATTGGATTAAAGACTCTAGAAGAATTATGGTCAAGTTCTCCTGCTGATTATTCACAGTTAAGGATATTTGGTTGTCCTATGTATGCTCATGTTAGGGATGGTAAGCTTGAGCCAAGGGTAGTGAAGTGCGTATTTCTAGGGTACGCTTCCGAGGTAAAAGGCTATAAACTATGGTGTGTTCAGAAGTCACCTCGATTCCTCATAAGCAGAGATGTAACCTTTGATGAGTTTGCTATGCTCCAAAAAGCAAAAAAGGAGTCAACAATTGCAAAGCCAGACCATGGAGTTAGCAAGCAGGTGGAGTTTGAAGCAACAACTCCAGAAAAGGCAGTGTGAGATGGCAATATTATCCAAGAGAATCTAGATGTGGTGCAAGATCCAGAGCTAATAGATACTCCAATGGAGGTGGAAGCACCTGAACAAACACAACAACAGTAAAATATTGCTACTGGTAGATAGAGGAGGGAGACCAAACCACCTCAGAGATATGGCTATACAGATTATGTTGCCTATGCTCTATCAATTACAGAACCAGTGGAGGCTGAGGATCCCAACACTTATCGAGAAGCAATTACCAGTAAAGAATCTCCTTATTAGCTTACTACCATGACAGAGGAGATTGAGTCTCTACATAAGAACCAGACATGGAAGCTTGTGAAGCCACCAAAGGGACAAAGAATTGTTGGATGCAAATGGGTCTTCAGGAGAAAAGAAGGAATCCCAAGGGTAGAGACACCAGATTCAAGGCTAGATTGGTTGTGAAGGGTTTCATACAACGAGAGGGTATTGATTTCCATGAGGTATTCTCTCCTGTGGTAAAACACAGCTCTATTCATGTTTTACTTGCCATGGTTACTTTATATGATCTTGAGTTGGAGCAGCTTGATGTAAAGACTACTTTCTTACATAATGAGTTGGAGGAACGAATTTATATGTCTCAGCCAGAGGGATTCATAGTTTTAGGAAAAGAAGATCATGTTTGTTTGCTCCAGAAATCCTTATATTAAGAACAAACAAATTAATCAATTATAAGGTCATCGCTGAGTTGGTCCCACAAAAATGGGACTAGGAAATAACCCTGCCATTTAGCATTTTTGCATGCAGCAAACAGTCTCAAAACTAGGAACTTATACTCCTATGCTAACAGGCCAAGACTCCCATTACTGCACTAAACATTTAACACTCTCCTTATCTGCCCTTTCTATCTAGCTGTAGTTGTTTTTTTTTTCTTTTTTTTTTCCCAATATATAAACTAATATTTTTCGAGCAGAACCCTCAAATCACTCCTTAAAGAAGATGGGTAGGAACGGATCCACCCCCCACAAAAATGAAAGGACATTTGGCCCTCAAAATTATCGACTGACCCAAATCACCAATTATTTAACTATTGATGTCATCACCGTCACAGTCTCCGTTTAGCTCATGCCAACATGTTGTTTTTTTACACGCTAGAGGTTAATGTGTACTAATCCTGCTCTTTTTTAAACACCGTGTCATTTGCGTGCCATTTGTTTGACATTATGGCTGGTGGGTTCCACTCTTTATCCCATTTTTAACTGATATTTTATGGCCAACCTATTTGCCCTAGTTCAAGTTTTCAAAGTTGGGGGTTAAGGTTCTCTTCAAAACCACAAGGCTTTCTCTCATTTCTTCAATTCTTTCCTTACGTTAGTCGAGGGGAAAAGATTGTGGGTGTTTGTGAGTTTATTCTCATGGAATCTTTCTCTAATTCTTGAGCTGGACCTTGTTGATTGTCGAGCCTCTGTTGGTGCAAGTGATGGTGCAATAGCGAGAACAGTTGTAAGGGATGTTGGGCTAGTTGAGCGAAACTATGAAGGTTCTCAAATGTATTGTGAGTGTGGCTTCAAGGCACCAAGGTGGACTTTGTGGAGATCGTGGAACATTGGGAGACGATTTTATGGTTGCCGGCACTTCTTGAATGAGGTAAATTTGGGGTTTTGCCTTAAGCCAATGCAAAATTACTCATCTGTTGTTTTTTTTTTTTTTCCAATTTTTATTTACTGCATTTAAGTTGTTTAATGACAAGATTTAAAGTGCTCGTATTTTGTTTAGCATGACTTGGAATTGTCACATGAGAGAGCCATTGAAGTACTGAAGTTGTTGATTACTAAGAAAAAGGCTCTTACAATAGAAAATTCAGCATTAAGAAGGCAATTAAGAAACAGAATGAATGGAAGTGCAGTGGTTGAGTCAAGCCACACCATTTCTACAATAAATGAGGGCACCATACAAAAATTGGATGAAATTATCGAGAAAACTATGGCAAATGCTGTGAATGATATTGTTGAAAGGAAATTTGATGTCTTGATTGCAACCTCTGTTGGTGTTGAGCTCAAAAAATTAATGGTTCATACCGTATTTGGTGTCTTTGTCATGATGGTTACGTATTTGATGCTTTGAGTGTTGTTCTAAGTGAGTAGGTGGTGTTTCAAGTGTAAATGTATGGCCTTTGTTTTGGTGTTTTGTGGTCATATGTGATGACCAAAATTTTGGAAGCTTGGAGAACATACCTATCAACCATTGTAATGTAATTGAATATTGATGAGCCTAAATTTCATACAATTATACATGACTTTTTAGTCATTAATTGTCGTCTTTTATATTTTATTGGAACGATTTTATTTGGTTTTACATTACTTTTATCATTCTTTGTAGGTAGAGGGTAAAACTAAAGAAATTGAGAGTAAATGGGCTGAAGTGACAAAAGTTGAAAACATCAAGTTTGATTCCATGATTTCCACATTCAAAGACCAGAATTGAATTTTCTTCTTGCATACACGTGACACAACATTGTGGGCTTTATCTCATTGTGGAGATAAGATGGGCTTTAAAAAAGAAGGGCACGTAGTTTTCGCAGGGGGTTTGATATAAAAAGGGGATTTTTGGAGGCGAAAAGCGAGAGACTTTCGAGAGGGATTTTAGAGGCAGCCGACAGAGAGCTTGGAAGGTGAGTTTGAGGCAGAGCTTGCACGGATTTTGTGCGAGTGACGGCAGAAGCGAAGGCAACCACTGGGGAGGCAGCCACTGGGGACACTTCAATCGAAAACAAAGGGGACAAGCGCGACAATGAAGGCTACAGATCTGAGTTCCACAAATTGGGTTTTTGCTCTTCTAAACTTATTTTTTCCTTTGTTTGGATATGGAATTGTGGTTCATCAATTTAATCTC